GGTGGTGCATCGAACCGGACCGGCACAGAGTCGGGATCGGATCGAATCGGCAGCGCCGGGATGCAGAGCAGCGCAACGCAGGCGTCGGGCCGCACCGGATCTTCCGAAAGTCCAGCATGGACCCTGCAGGGGGTGGGGACAGCGACTCGTTGATGTCGCCCGCCAGTGGGTTCTGGACGTCGGCACCTCGAGTGTTGGCAAACCCAAAGTGGGCTACGCTCGCGTGACCGCCAACGCCTACTGCGCGGACCGCCATGCTGACGGCAAGCTGCCCCTTGGCATTGCGCATCATGGAGGGAGGCCCAAAACACACGCTACACCCTCCCCCGTACAGCACCATGCGGACGAGTGGGACTGGTGGCTAACCATTTCCGTCATGGACCAAACTTTCGTTTAGTCGTTCCCTTTAGCCGTTTTTCTCCTTCAGCTGAGGAAAATTATAACAGCGTCGAGCGCATGCTGACCCCGAGGGCCGAGCTCAGGGGGGGAGCATTGACTTGGCACGGGCGGAGCATCGCCGACAGATCGGCCGCCGGGTCTCCTTGGCGAAACTGCACGCTCCTGGGCAGGCTAGGGGTGAAGGGCTCGAGGCACGCTCGCTGAAGGGAGGAGGAGGAGGAGGAGGAGGAGGAGGAGGAGGAGGAAGAGGAGGAGGAGGAGGAGGAGGAGGAGTGGAGGAGGTGGAGGAGGAGGGCACGCAGGCCCCGATTGGCAAAAGATGAGCGATTGGGAGTCGATGCTTCACCCCCTGAGTTCGCTTTCCCGCACTGTCTGCGAGGCGGGGACTTGTCCATATCCATCGCCTGCGAACCGACGCCCTGGTGCCCCAGCGGGCGGTGGATCTGGATATATGTTGGCCCCCGGGGGGCCGAATACATCCATACCACCGCCTGTCGAGGTCCTCGAAAATGGATCCTCCAGGCGGTGGTCGTGTATAAATTTCCGCCTCGGACTGTCGGCGTCTCCGAGGACACGGACAGAAGGGGGAACAATTCTGACGCGCTTCGCCCTCTCTAGGCAGTGGCGGCCCCTAGCTGGCCTTGCCTTGAGACAACAACTTCTGACACGCACCGCTCTTCCTCTGAGGATCCAAGGGGGCGCCCCCGTCGCCCCGGGTGGATTCGCCACGAGGATCTGGCCAGCACGCGGTCCAGAAGGAACGGGGTACGGAGTCCAAGCGATACAAGATGGGGAGACCGAGACCTTTGTCCCGTCGCCACGGGTGGATTCGCCATGAGGATCTGGCCAGAACGCGGTCCAGAAGGGGCGGGGTACGGAGCCTAAGCGATACGAGATGGGGAGACCGAGACCTTTTTCATCATGGGAACGTCGCCGCATCGGATCGGGAAGCCGGATCGAATCGGAACGAGCATCGGATCGGGCTGCGTCGGGTCGGAATCGAGATCACGGATATCAGACTACGATGTGCAGTCATCGGGCCGCACTGGACGGCCAGGAAACCGAAACACAACCATCGACATCGAACCGAGTCGATCGAATCGGGATAGGCTCCGTGGGGTCGAAGGGTCGGATAGGGCCACGTGGTGAAAAAATATGGCGTCAGACATCCGGGATCGGGTACGTTTAGCCTGGGACTTCTGAGAGCCCGCGGTTACACACGATGCAGGGGGCGCCGCAGCCGTTCCAGAAGCTACCAGAAACACCTTGACAGGCAAATCATGGAACGAGCTGCCCGTCAGTCGAAGTAGATAGAAACCTATAAAATGAAGGCGCTTGAGGCAGAACAGTTACACGGACGGAGGGCCAGTAGTTTTCAAAATGTGGTTCTCGCCCTAGCGCCGCGTACTTCCTGTTTGCAAGCTTCCACGCATTACGAGGATGAAGACCCGATGACTGTCAAAATCCGCCGACCATGTCGGCATGTGTAAGGCGTTGCTCTGTTTTGGTCGTCGTCGTCGCCGTCCGTCACCGCTCCCCCCCTTTCCCTGGGCCCTCCTCCTCCTCCTCCAGCCAAGCGAAAATCAAACCACGTCGATATTCATTCGAAGGGCAGCCCTATCCTTTGATCCTTTCCCTGCCGGGGGGGGGTCCCCAGAGGGGTCCCGGAGGGGTGTCCCAGAGAGGGGTGCCCATGGAAGGGGGCGGTCCGAGGGAGGAGTCCCTGGGGGTTCCAGGGGGGGGTCCTGGGGGTCGTGACTCCCCACCCTGAAGGTCCCCCCTGTGGAGAATGGGGACAGGGGGTGGTCTCCCCGTGGCCTCAGATCCGCTCCGAGGCGGCTCCAAGTGACCACGGTGCGTCCCAAAAGTCCCCCAAGAGACCCCCCAAACAGAGCCGAAGAGCCTCCCAAGAGAGCCCCAAGAAGAGTTCCAGAGCGACAGCGTCGTCGTCGTCGCCGCCGCCGCCGCCGCCGCCGTCGTCGTCGTCGTCGTCGTCGTCGTCGTCGCCGTCGTCGTCGTCGTCGTCGTCGTCGTCGTCGTCGTCGTCGTCGTCGTCGTCGTCGTCGTCGTCGTCGTCCCCCTTCAGGGTCGGCGGCACCGGTCGTAAGGCTTTTCCAATATGGCTCTCGCCTGAGATCCATGCACAATCGTTTGGAAAGCCACCAACAGTTGCGAGTATGGAGGCCGGTTCGTTGTGTAATGCAGTTATCGTTTGCGACTTCGTCAAGTTTCATGATTCGAAACTCGAAATAATGCAACAATTCATGGGTGGAGGGCGGCTCCTTTTCAAAATGATTTGATCGGTTGAGATTTTTGGATATCTGGTGTCCGTAACGTTGACATGTCGAAGTCCTGATGGAAGGCAGGCTATCGCTGGTCGCTTTCCGAATGTGGATCATTCTACACTGCCGATAGTGAATGAGAAAGATGGAGGGTGGATCCTTTGCAACACAGGGTCTTGCATGAGTGGCAGGCCTGGGGAGCGCTTCACGCAGTAGAACATAATTCGCCGGCCTAACGGGCCAGGGCGTGCTAAGATCTCCGGTACCTGGTTAACAGTATTTCTAGTTCGCGCGCGCGGGGCGGCCCCTGGGGGTCCCCGGACGAAAAGTACACCGGCAAGGTCCCGGCAAGGTCCCGGCAAGGTCGGGTCAGAGATGCCGGAGTTCTGTTACAGGGCCCCAGGACGGGCCAAGAGGTCCCCAAGAAGCCTCCAAGACGGTCCAAGAGGGCCCCGAGACGGCCAAAGATCGCCCGAAGACGCCCAACAGGGCCCCAAGACAGCCCAAGAGGCCTCCAAGACGCCCCAAGGGCCTTCCAAGAGGCCTCCGAAGAGGGCCCCAAGAGGCCAAAATCGTTGATTTTCATTGTTTTTTTATGTTTTTTGCGTTCTGGCTTTTTCGGCTTCCGGACGCTCCAAGACGGCCCAAGAGGCCCCCAAGACCGCTCCAAGACGGCCCACGAGGCTCACAAGACGGCCCCGGAACGGCCCAGGAGGGCCCCCAAGACGGCCCAAGTGCCGCCCAAGACGGACCAAGAGGCCCCAAGACGGGCCCAAGAGGGGCTCAAGAGGGGAACCGAGAACTGAAAAATCGAGCCCTCCGCCCCAGAAGGCGCCCAGGAGGCCCCAAAAAGGCCCCAAGAGGCCCCCAAGAGGCCCCCAAGACGCCCCAAGAGGCGCCCAAGAGGCCCAAAAGAGGCCCCAAGAGGCCCCAAAACGGCCCCCAAGAGGCCCCAAAACTCGGCTAGCCCACAACGGTGCGACAATATGGGCCGGCGGAATGAGCGAAGCGATTAAATAATTCTAGGGAGGTATGAGGAGGGGGCCCGGGACGGGAGGGTGTATGGCAGCCTCGTTGGTGCGTCCTGGGTTTGCTCTGATCCTCCTCGATCTTCCTCCTCCTGCTCCACCTGTCTCCTGCCTCCTCCTCCTCCTCCTCCTCCTTCTCCTCCTGCCACCCCCACCTGTCTCCTGCCTCCTCCACCTGTCTCCTGCCTCCTCCTCCTCCTCCTCCTCCTCGTCCTCCTCCTCCTCCTCCTGTCTCCTGCCTCCTCCTGCCTCCTGCCCAGCCCTCCCTCCCACTCCTGCCCGCCTTGCCGCCCCCCCCCTTCCGCCCCCCCCACCCCCCATCGCATCAACGGCGTGCCCACCCACGCGCCCGGACACTCACCCTCACCCGCCGACCGACCTGCGGGCGCAGCGCGGCGGCGAAGCTCCGCCCTCGGGTGAGGTCGACTCTCTGGCGGCTGCTCGGGGACTGCCCGACACCGCCCAGAGAGCTCTCGGCGAGGCGCGGCTGCTGGCAGGCGCCCCGAGGTGGAGAGATCGCCAGGAGCCGGCGAGAACTCCCCCGAAGAGCCAGCGCAGCCCATGATGACGATCAGAGGCACACAGAACGCGAGCAGAACAGCCGTACAGGTGGGCAAGGGCGAGGAATGTGCAGCACTTGGCGCCCGACACAAACCATGGCCGTGCACGACACGCCTCCCCGAAGAGGAGCTGAGGGGCAACGATAGGGGGGTCACCCGCTGAGGGGGGAGACCACCAGGCTCGAGTCGGCGACACCTCGCCGAGACATCGGCGATAGGCCCCCGGTAGCGAACCCGCACGGTTCTGGGCGGGGTCGGGACACCCGACCCCTGTCGGCGAGGAGTGGGCGATGGCGGGTCGATGCGTGCCCCCCTTTTGAGCCTGCAGTCGTGCTGCTGACATAAGCAACGATGCACACGGAGCATCGAGGAGTGAAGCCCCTCGTTGGCCCAAGGAGCGCCTGCATGCACGAGGAGGGCCACGGTCGACCTGGGGCAGAATGGCATCCTTCGAGAACATGAGACCCTCCGCCGGCCCAAGCACACAGAACATCCAGGTTTACCCTCCCCACGATGCACAAGAACATTCGACAAGCACGAAGAACCTCAGGGTACCCTCCCCGAACCGACCTCGACCTTGTACCTCGGTCCGACTGTAGAGGAACAGCCATGGAAGGACCTAAGAAACATCGAGCCCCTTCCGAACCCAAGCTGATCCTTACTTCAGCGTCTTGACTGCATCCCCACCCCCCATATCGTTGCCTCCGAGGAACCCACGGCGCCGCGGCCGCCTCCGCCACAGCACTCACCGCCTCCTCGGCCCACTCCCCGGCGGTGGCAGCCGGGGCCTGCGCCCTAGCCTATTGGGGGGGGGGAGCGCGGGGTGACCGACGAGGGGAGTAGAGATGGAAGCGAAGATATAGGGCAACTCGAGTAGTCTCTGTTCCTGTCCCCTACTTATGAGCAGCCGTTGACACGTGAATAGAAAGAGAGAGCTTGACCGTCTGAACCCCGGCTCGAGTAACACATCTCTGCTTTGGCAGCGGAGCATTACCCCCAGTGCGCGCGCGGCGCCATTGACCTCGCGAACCACGTGCTGAACTTCGGTACGCCCTGGGCATCGACTACGAGGCATCCGAGCATCGAGACGAACACACCATACGCTGCCCTAAAACCATCAGAAACTGACTCCACTCTTCTTCAACAACATCCAGCAGCAGCAACTCAGCATACACGGTCAAGCATAAGACTGTCCGATTATCACATTCATCACACCTGGTCAAGCACACAATTATACAAGCATGTTATTCAGCGTACCTGGTCAAGCCTGCAACTATCCTACGATCCAGACCCACAAATCATGACAAATACACTGGAGGAATCGACCCGCAACACGCCACCATGGAAACAAGGTCTCAGCACATATTGTCGGAAAGTACCTTCAGAATCTAAGGCTGTGGTGACGCACTCGCAGTGAACCAGACGAATCGGCCGCAGCCCTTCTTGTATTGAATGGCCTCCAAGGCGGAGCTCGAAAGCAGGCACTTAGATTCACCATTCAGAGTGACGGCCTGAGCTACACAAGAGAGAACGCTTTCGCCCTCGTCGCAGCACCAGCATATCCAATCGCGGGGACGGCCGCCTAGCCGTCTTGACGAGATGACTTTCTCAAGAGTACGGTCTCCACGAACAGGACAACACTTCCATGGCCAAAGCGGGAGCTCATGATGAGCGTAGCGCCAAAGCGAGAGCAACATTTCGGCCTTTCGCGTGGAATGCGCGCCGCGTCCCATTCCTGCCACGCATGTTACAACATGGACTAAAAAATTGCCATGTTGAGACGAAACACATTAATTATATGCTCTTCTGTCATACGGATAAGATGCGACCTCCCGGATTGGGTTGCTAACGCCCGGCTAGGCGGCAGAGGGGGAGTATATCCCAAGAAAAAAACATAACTAGCAGTGGGAGCAGGAGTAGAGCAGAGGTGGTTTGGGTAGGGCGGGGTAGGGTAGAGTAGGCTAGAACACAGTAGAGTAGGACGGGTGCCAAAGTAGAGTCGGGCAGAAGAGAGTAGCGTAGAGTAGAACAGAGAAGAGTAGAGTACTGTAGAGTAGAGTAAAGTTGACTAGAGTAGAATATATAGGATATATCATACGGGAGTAGAGTAGAGTCAGAATTAGAGTTTGAGTTAAGAGTCAAAGTCAGAGTCAGAGCCAGAGTAGAGTACAGGAGAATGCAGTAGAGCAGAGTAGAGTATAGCAGGGTCGAGTGGGAATATAATCCAACCCAGTCCAGTCCAGTCTACCCCAGTCCAATTCACTTCAGTCCACGCCAATCCACTTCAAGTCAGTCTTCTGATATATTCGGAGCTTGCGCTGGCTGATAATTCGGGAACAATATGGATGGATCGAAAAGTAAGACGTCGGCTACGCCAACATAATCGCGGGGTCGGTGGCGGGTAGGTCACGGGTGGGTGGCAAGGGGGGTCGCGTGTCGGTTCGCGGTTGCGTCGCGGGTGGGTCGCAGTTGGGTCGTGGGCGGGTCGCGGGGCGGGCCGCGGGTGTGTCGAGGGGCGGGGGCGACGAACGACGATAAATATACTCGTCGCGGAACTCCGCTTCGGTCACGCACTTGGCCCCCTGTTTCTGAGACGAGCCCACGGAAACCATGTAAAGCAACGCTCGCGTGAAATGCTTGACTCCTTGCGCACCTTCATACAGTCAGTCAATCCTTCCGGAACGGCATCATCCCATATTGGTTTTATCCCCACGGATCAAAGCAGCGCATGCAGGCATCGCACTATACTACGTCTACAACGTTGCAGGTTTTTCGCTGTGCATCGTCTGGCCTTCCAAGTCAGCCGACAAATATCCTTATTGACAGCCGACCGAGGCGAATACGGTGTCTGCCATATTTGCTCACAAGCCCCAAATCCTCCAAGACTTCAACACTTCACGCCCGTCTAGAATACATGATGAAAAGCGTGGCTGCCCAGTGAAAAATCAAGGGCCTCCCAGTGTGGCTAAGCCTTCCCGGGTAAAGGCGCGCATGGCTATGCACTTGTTGACAAAATCGCCCCAGTCCCCAAAACCACCTGCATGAGCCCAACGACCCTTAAGTCGTTTTGCCTCTTCGGGCCCAGCTCTCGCCTCTTCAAAGAAGGGCTCGCCCCACCGCAGCAACATACTGCAAGCTTGGAGTGTTTCGCGGCCACGGCTCACATAATCCCCGAAAAGATTGTTCCAGACTGTTCCAAACTCAGCTGTGAGCTTTCTGACAACAATGTGGCTACTTGCTGTTGGCTCTGCGTTTAAGACCACTCGACACTGACGCACAGCCTCTGCCATCGCTGCGCGTCGGAAGTCCATGGTGGAGATCTTTGCCAAGACAGAGTTTGCAACATGCTGTCGTGTAGTATCGTCGGTGGTTTTTAAACTGGGGCTTGACCCACTTCGCAATCTTGTCAACCTCGAGGAAATAACTCATCTTAGGCAAATAGAGCCGAAATGACTTCATGCAATCAACCTCCTGGAAAATGTCCACGACACCGCCGTAGCCAACCTTTTCTCCTTGTGGCCAGCTGCTGCGAGCACGGACGCATAGCTCGATGCTGCCCTATTTCATGCACTTCCCTCCACATCGGGCACGATTGCCTTTAGATGCCAAGTCAATGCTCTGGCCTGCATGAATCATCCGGTAGTCATTCACCGCCACCGTGCCTCGAGGCACGAAGTGGAGCACCCTCAGTTCCCATCATATGCGATGCTTAAACTGAAGTCGGGCCAATCCTCGTGCAGGAATATTTTGTTGAGGTTAAAAAACAGAATGGTCAACAGTACTAAAAAATCGCCCCCAGACTATATTCGAGCGAGCGTGATCCACCGCCGCTTTACTTTGGAAAATTGCCGCCCTGTTCCTCCGGAGCCCGGAGGTCCCCCCCCCCCCCTTCCGAAAATCCCCCCCCCTGCTGGAACCCTTTCCCCCCCCCCTTTCCCCCGGCAAAACCCCCCCCTCCCCTAACCCTCCCCCCCCCCCTCGAACTCGAAAACCGGGGGGGGTCACTACCGGTTCGAACCCCCCCCCCTTCGAAAACCGGAGGGGGGGGTCACTACCGGTTCGAACCATTGAGCTGTCCCACTGTTCCCACCACTGTCCCCACTGTCCCCACCACTGTCCCCACTGTGCCTCTGTCCCATTGTCCCACCGCCGTCCTCGCCACCGCCTTCACCATTGTCCCCACCACCACTGTACCCTCCACTGCCCTACTGTTTCCACCACATTCCCACTGTCCCCACACCACCACCGTCCCCACCACTGTCCCAGTGTCCCCAATGTTCCCACCATTGTCCTCACCACTGTCCCCACCACTACCGTCCCCACCACTGTCCCACTGTCCCCACCATTGTCCCGCTGTCCCCTCACCACTGTCCCCACCACCAGCGCCCCCACCACTGTCCGCACCCCCCCTCGGTTTTCGAGGGGGGGGCGGGGGGGGGTTCGAACCGGTAGTGACCCCCCCCGGTTTTCGAGTTAGACGGGGGGGGGGTCGAATCGGTAGTGCCTCCCCCCCCTTTTCATGATGAACTGGGGGGGGGGAGGGGTTCGAACCGGCAGTGACCCCCCCCGGTTTTCCGGAGGGGGGGGGGGAGGGGTTCGAACCGGTAGTGACCCCCCCCGGTTTTCCGCCAGCAGCGGTAGAACACGCTCTGTCCTATATTCTGACTATGTTTGAAAATCCCTCCTGTAGAGGGACGGGCCCGATTTCAGCTTCAACGTTCAGAAGGATCACAGCCCCGACTCCCAGGCGCTCCCGGGCGCTTCTGGTTTTTCGAGTGGCATTTACCCGGTGCCAACAGCTGGGGACATGCAGTTCCAACGTGGCCGAATATGGACACGGGGGCCGTCCTGTAATCCTCTTGAGCACCTCCTGCGCAGTCTGGGAAGGCCTGGGAGACTGCACAGAAGCCAGAGTCTGTTATTCCAACGTTTCCTGTAATTCGCCCCTGGGCCTTGTGCCCGTTGGGGTTTGTTAGAATGCTCGTCTAGTGTCGGGGAGGCCTTGTCGAGTTTTCTGAGGCCGCCCTCCCCCCTTGTCGCGCGCGTCCCTTGAAAATCGCGTCCCCGGAATTTGCTCTCAGGTGTTCTTTTCGGCCTCCAGATGGCCAAGACGGCCTCCAAGACGGCTTCCGGCGCAGCCAATATGGCACCAAGACGACCCAAGATGGCTCAAGAAGGCTCAAGAGGCTCCCAAGACGGCCTCAAGATAGCTCAATAGGCCCCCAAGACGGCCCAAGAGGGCTCCAAGAGGCCCTCGTGGAAAGCCCGAGGAAGCCACAAACATTAACTTCTTTTTGGTGTTTGAAGGGCTGTAAGGTTCTCACATGTTTGGGCTTCGGACCATCCAGGACGGCCGAAGTGGGCCTCCACGAGGCCTCCAATATAGCTCCAAGACGACCCAAGCGGCCCCCAAGAGGGCCACAAGCCGGCGCAAAAGGACCCAAAGATCGCCCGAGGGGCTCCCAAGAGGGTCCAAAACGCCCCTGCAGCGCGTCAAGAGGGCACCAAGACGGCCCAGAGAGGCCCCCAAGACGACCTCCGAAAGCGTCAGGTGGGCCGAGAGTCCCCGTAGACGACCCAAGAAAACACAACAGGCCTTCAAGAGGCCCCGAAAGGGCCCTAAAGAGGCCGCGAGAGGCCCCCCAAAAAAACCCAGGAGGCCCCCAAGAGGCCCCAAGAAACCGTTTCCGCTGCGCGGTACTATAAGGAGATCCCCACATGACCAAACCCA